CCACCCTAGCTTTCTTATATATTCGGTTCGTTAATCACTGTTTTCAAAAACAAACATTAATTTTTCACTATCACTATTTTCAAAACCATATATGTTCACTTTGAAGAAAAAAAATCACTGTCTTTAAAGACAATCACAACTCTTCGATGTCTTTGTGATAGATCATAACGACAGTCGACAGGAAGTTCCCGACAATGAAGTTCCGAAAGTCGGGGATACGTCGGTCGAAGGGGAATCCCATCGGTCTTTTGTCGGGGTACTTGAGGCCGTGGATGCCACAGTTGCTGTGGGTGTTGCCGTGCGTGTTCTCCAGCAGGTCGTCGTGCACGCCGTCGTCGCCGCTGGTCATGCCCACGAACAGCCAGAATTGCATGCCCGTCTTCGTGCCCTTGGGGAGCAGGAGGCGCTGGGGGAGGCCGCAGCCCCGAGCGCGAGCGATGTTGTGCGGGAGGTCGGTGTTGCTTGCGACGGCTTCGTCCGCCTGCTGCATCAGCGTCTTGAACGGGATGCGGTCGGGGATGGTGACCGAAGACTCGCTGGAATTGCGGACGATGTGGTTTTCGCCCGCCGTCACTGCAACGCGGAGGCAGGGGTTCAGTAAAGTCAAATCAGTATAAACACATGTGCATGAACTCTCACACACAGGAAGACAGCGGGACAAAGAAACACAACCGGAGGGACAGCCTTCAGCCGCCCTCCGCCGCCCACTCACCTTTCGTCCAGAATTTGTCGAGCTCGATGCACCTCCAGCGGTTGTTGTCGAAGGGGATCTGCAAGCCGTTGCTGTCGAACCTCGGGCAGATGTGGATCCTGACCGTCACCGAGTCGTCGCGTTTGGCGTCGGCGTAGATGTCGAAGGTGAAGGGCTTGTGGTTCAGTCGAGACACGTAGGCAGAGACGGGGACGTCCACGAGGTCCTCCGTGCTGTCGAAGGCGTTGGTCAGGTCGAACTCGAAATCCTCGAAGAAGGTGACGAGCTCGGACACCTCCGCGTAGGTGACGAGGACGTTGTCGTACTCGAGGTCCTTCTTGGAGTAGGGCGGCAGGGAGTCCTTGTGCTCCTTGAAGATGTTATCCATGTATTTATGGAGACGGAAGAAGGCGGGGTCGCGGGTGGCGGTCTCGAAGTGCTCCATCACGCCCGGCGGCATCTTGAACTTGCCCACCGGGTCGGACTGGGCGCCGAGCACGCGGTGGGCCTGGTTGTGCAGCGACCCGTAGTACTGCTCGTTCACGCTGTACGTCGACGACTCGATCATGTTACCCAGGATATCGATGCCGCGCTCGTTCTTCAGGCTGATCACGGTGCCATTCGCGGCGTAGACGAAGCCGCGCGCGATCGAGTCCCGGATGCGCTCGTCGATCTCCTTCAGGTCCCGGATGCGCGCCACGCCCGCAACGTCCTCGAACACGAGGTTGTCGGGCCGCGTCGGGAACTCGCCGCCGTACTTGTACACGGTGTGGGGCGCGAAGCCCTCGTCGATGGGGCGGTCCCAGTGCAGCTCGTCGACGATGGGCAGGTGGTTGGAGAGGCGCTCGGAGTCGAAGCGCGCCGTGAGCTGGTGGTGCGCCCAGAAGAACAGCTCGCCCTTCCTGTCGATGTGCTCGCCGTCCCACCAGAAGGGGAAGTCCATGTGCCAGTGGACGTGGTGCGAGTTCATGCCGATGTCCTCGCCGAAGTACGCCACGCGCTGCTCGGTGTTCTTGAGCGTGCCGGTGAACGTCATCCTGAAGCGGCCGGGCGTCTGCAGCATCTTGGCCTCGTACGCCTTCTGGATGACCTCCGAGTTGGTGAACATGTGAGGCGTGACCTCGTAAAGCGGAGGCAGGATGACCTCCTGCGTCATCTTGGAGTGCGTGACGGACACGTAGAGCGCGTACACGAACTCGCCCTCGTTCATGCGCTCGCGGAAGAAGGCCGCGTTGCCCTTGAACGTCTGGAAATCCTTGCAGGACAGCAGCACGTGGATCAGCATGAGCGCCTCCTCCCTCTGGCGCGGATTGAACAGCGAGAACCACTGCTTCTTCCCGCGGAGCCGCCCTTGCTCTAGCTCGGTCATGATGCGGTCGACGGCGGCGCCCTCGTCGCTGCAGTGCCCCACGTGGGCCCGCGGGTCCCACGTCGTCGCCAGCTCCTTTAGATCGGTGAAGGAGGACAGCAGAGGCTCATTCACCCTGTAGAGCAGCCTGTTGATCGCCTGCTGCCTGTGCGCGAGGTTGTCCTCGGCGAGGCCCGAGGCGGAGAGCAGCGCTACCGCGAGGAACAGCACCTTCATTTCGCCGGCAGTGAAGGCGAGCGCTGGGCTCCGCGGCCTTATATACGTCGCAGGGGGCGCCGCCGTAGCCTGTCGCAAGGACGGAACGCGCCTCAGTGGCCTCCGGCGGCACTTGGCAACACGTGATAAGATCAGGCTTTTGTAGTCCCTTTCAGCCAAAGATGGCACAGGCAGCGTTGCTTGTGCCGTCGACCTGTTTAACGATTACTGACGTGCAAGACAGC